TAGTTCCTTTAGGCGAGCTGTTAGATTTTGTACTTGCGCTTTTTCTAGTTTCTTGAAATAGGCCTGGAGTGCAATGTACTTTCCTCTTAGGACTGCCTTTGCCGCATCCCATAGATTTTGGATTGCTGTGTTTTCATTTTCATTTGTTTCCATATATTTTTTAATTTCATCCCTAATTGCCTGATTGGTCCATTCATTCTTTAATAGGGTGATCTTTAACCTACATGTTTTTGAAGGTTTTCCAAACTTCTTCCTGTGAATGAATTCAAGTTTAAAAGCATTATGATCTGAGAGTGTGCATGGTAGGATCTCAATTCTTTTATATGCATTGAGGGCTGCTTTATGTCCCAGTATGGGATCTATCTTGGAGAATGTGCCATGCGCACTTGAGAAGAAAGTAAATTCCCTGGCCTCAGGATGTCGAGTTCTAAATATATTTGTCAGATCCATCTGGTCCAATGTGTCTTTCAAATCCATTATTTCATCAGTGATTTTCTGTCTGGTTGACGTATCCATTGCTGTAAGCAGAGTATTAACGTCCCCTGTTATTAGCACATTCTTATCTATGAGCCTGTTTTTGTTTGTGATTAATTGTTTTAAATATTTAGGTGCTCCCATATTCCGTGCATAGACATTTATGATTGTTAGTTCTTCCTGATGGATAGACCCTGTAATTATCATGTAATGCCCTTCTTCATTTCTTGTTATTGTCTTTAATTTAAAGTCCAGTTTGTCTGATATAAGTATAGCTCTTCCAGCTTTCTTTAGATTTCCAGTAGCACGATATGTATTTCTCCATCCCTTTACTTTTAATTTGAAGGTACTTCAGGTCTAAAATGAGTTTCTTGTAGACAGCATATAGATGGGTTTTGTTTATTTATCCATTCTGCCACTCTGTGTCTTTGGATTGGAGTATTCAGCCCATTTACATTCAGTGTTATCATTGAGATATGTGGGTTTAGAGTCTTTGTGTCCTTTGTGGAGTTCATATTTGTGGTGGTGTCTGGTATCTTTGTTCCTTGCAACATTTCCTTCAAAGCGTCCCCCTCAGGATTTCTTGTAGGGCTGGCTTAGTGGTGACAAATTCAATTTTTGTTTATTTGGAAAGACTTTTATCTCTCTTTCTATTTTGTATGACCGGCTTGCTGGATAGAGGATTCTTGGCTGCATATTTTTTTCTGTTCATCACATTATAGGTCTCTTGCCATTCCTTTCTGGTCTGCCACGTTTCAGTAGTTAGGTCTGTCACCACTCTGATAGGTTTCCCTTTGTATGTAAGGGCCCTTTTCTCCCTAGCTGCTTTCAAAATTTTCTCCTTGTCGTTATATTTTGCCATTTTTACTATCATATGCAGTGCAGAAGGTGGATTCATATTACTTCTGAGGGAGGTCTTCTGAGTCTCTTGTATTTCAACATTTACTTCTTTTCCCAGGTTGGGGAAGTTCTCTGCTATAATTTGTTCCAGGACTCCTTCAGCACCTTTCCCCCTCTCTTCCTCTTCTGGGATTCCTATGATACGGATATTGTTGCGTTTGTCCATGTTGCTGAGCTCTCGAACTCTTCTTCCCTGTTCCTGGATCAGTTTGTCTCTTTTTTTGTCAGCTTGTTGTTTTTCTATATTGGAGTCTTCTAAATCACTTATTCTCCTTTCTGCCTCTTCAATCCGTGCATTGGAGGCCTCTAATTTATTATGTATCTCATTTATCCCTTTTTTAAATTCTTCATGGATGTTCATATTCTCCATTTTGGCTGTAGCCATAGTTTCTTTGATGTTGCCTATATTTTTTTCAAGCCCAGCTATTAATTTTATGACGACTATTCTAAAATCTTGTTAATTTTGCTCCTTATATCTGTTTTGAGCAGTTCATTAGCTGTCAATTCTTGGAATTTATTTGGAAGAGAGCTTTTTTGTTTTGTCATTTCAGTTAGCTTTCTGGCTCTTGTTAGTTTTAAAGATCTGTTATGATCTCTGCACCTGTGAGCGCTGCTGTATCCAAGAAAACTCTTTGACTGTCCAAGGTCTATCCTTTCAGAGGGTGTATTTTGAATGGTATCTCTTGGTGTCTCTTGTTGAGACCTTGGTTATTTTGTTTTCCTACTTTTAGTGATATTTGGGCCTGTTCATCATGTGTACTTTGGCTTGTTTCTTGAGGTAGCCCTGGAGAGGAAAACAGACAGACAAACACACAGGGAGCAGGGGCACACAAATGCACAAAGAAATCCGAATAACATGCAAACTTAGAGGGAAAGTGAGAAAGTTAAGAGAAAAGATGGAGGAGGGAGGGCAAAAAATAGAAAATCAGAGAATACATAAAAAGGTGAAAAGGAAAAAAAGAAAATGAAAAAAGAAGAATACCAATGGACAAAAAACGGTTGATCGCATATAACTGGATTTCCCAGCTACAGTTAAATAGCTGGGTGTGTGCAGTGCTAGTTGAAGAGCATAGAGACACAGACAGAAGACAGGGCCCGGATGAGGCAAAATTGGAAATAGAATGAGCAGGCCGAAGGGATAAGAAGGTTTTTTTTCAAAGAGTTAAAGGGTGGAGTATGGTTGGTTAGGTGAGAGAAGGATGTTGGTGTTATCCAGAGAAACTATATAGTCTAATTACTCCTGAGAGAAAGAGATGAAAAGGTCAGGAGGTGTAGAATTTACATCTACAGAATGGACTGAATGTGACTGTTTAAGCACGCCGGTGACCAGAGTTAATCAGGTAAGTGTTCTGGGGGAAAAAAGAAAAAAAAGGAAAAGGGGAGGAGGGCAGCTCTCAAGCAGGTTGGGCGTGGTGTGATACAATGCTTCAAGCGGGAGTTCTGCCTTGGAGGCTGTAGGGAGGAGAGTGGCGGCGCTTCACCTTGCTTTTATGGGTGTGTAGTATCCCAGGGCCAGGGGCTGAGCCAAAGTTTGTCGTGCTTTTCAACCCAGGCCAATCCCAGCCTCCAAATCCCAGTCCAAGAGCACTGCGGAAATTGCCACAGGCAATCCCCTGGCAACTCCCTCAGGGCAATTCCAAGCCTCCTGACTGGCTCTGGGGGTGAGCCAGAAGCTGCTGCTCCCTTCTTCTCTGGGTAGGGCTGGGGGGCCTGGGCGGGGCAGGGGACCTTGTCTGCCTGACACGCTGAGCCCGCTGGAGTGAGGAAATTGAGGTCCCTCTCTGTGTCTTCACCCAAAACACGAATTCGTGGGCAAATCTCCCAGTTTTTAGCTCTTTGCCTTCCCTCTAGAGCTCAAGCCAACCAGGAGTGGGGACGCCCGGTGCCTGCGCGCAGTTACTCCAGGGGTCCAAGCCCGCTGGAAGTACAATGGCAGCTGGCGCACAGCTTCTCCCAGCCAGCCAGGAGCCGGCTCAAAGAAGCAGTCCGCGAGTGAGCGCAGTCCCTCCTGGGCCAGCTGGAGCGTGGGGACCTGGTTTGCTGGTATACTGTGCGCAAGGTCTTTCTATGCCCCAAGCAGAGGTTTTTCCCCCGAGCAGAGGTTTTTCCCCCGAGCGGAGGTTTTTCTGTTTCAGACTCTCTCTCTTTTTCCCCTCTCAGTCCCCGCAGAGGGGGATCGCCCCGTCCCTCCAGTCGCTGATCTAGGCCTGATTTTATCTTCCCCAGTTCACACTCACGTTAAAAGGCTTTCTCAGTGGGTTCTGCGTCCTATTTCTTCCGATCTCTTGGGTTTCATAGGGTTTCCTATGGCTTCAGATCTTTTCCGTGTGAGGCATGGGCGCGAGTGCAAGTACGGAGCTCCCTACTTCTCCGCCATCTTGCCAAGTTTTTCTCAATGTTTATTTTTTAGAGAGACAGAGGCAGAATGCAAGCAGGGGAGGGTAGAGAGAGAGGAGACAAAGAATCCGAAGCAGGTTCCAGTATCTGAGCTGACCAAACAGAGCCCGATGTGGGACTCAAACTCATTAACCATGAGATCATGGCCAGAGCCGAAGTTGGACATTTAACTGACTGAGCCATCAAGGCACCCTTGGAGTAAGGCTTTTTTATTATTTTGTATATGATTTTGCTTTCTTGTTTGCCCCAATGGGGGCACAAGTATCCTGACTAAACTGTCAATTTGGATCCAAGTAGCCTAGATATCATTTTATTTTTGAAGGAATCATTTTATTGTAAGTAACAAATTGCTATTTATATCACTTCAGATATAAAGAACATTTGTTGAAAGAATACTATATGTTGTTTGATGAACATTCATCTTTCTCGCATAGCATATCAGCCACAAATAGTGGGGTCAGTTTTGGCTCCTCCCTCTTTCTCATACCCTACATATGATTTATGAGTAAATAGCATTGATTTAAATCTGACCACTTCTGGGTCACCTGGGTTGATCTGTCGGTTGAGTGTCCAACTTCAGTTCAGGTCATGATCTCATGGTCTGTGAGTTTGAGCCCCTCAATGGGCTCTGTGCTGACAGTTCAGAGCCTAGAACCTGCTTCAGTTCTGTGTCTCCCTCTCTCTCTGACCCTCCCCTGCTCATGCTATGTGTCTCTTTCTCAGAAATAAATAAAACATCAAAAAATTAAAAAAATAAATATGACCACTTCTCACCATGTCCAGTGCTATAACTCTAATCTAAGCCATGATAATTTCTCACTTGTATTTTTGCTATAGTCTCTAACTTGTCTCTATGCTTCACCCTTGGCTTTACAGTCTACTCTCCAAACATCAGCTATTATAGTTCTTTAAATTTAAATTAGATCAAATTACTCATTTTATTTTAATTTTGTTCACTTTATTGCATTTTTTACATACTGAGTTTTTAAAATTTAGGGTGCCTCAATTGGCTAAGTGTCCTACTTCAGCTCAGGTCATGATCTCATGGTTTGTGGGTTCAAGCCCCACATCACGCTCTGTGCTGACAGCTAACTCAGAGCCTGGAGCCTGTCTTCGGATTCTGTGTCTCCCTCTCTCTCTGGCCCTCCCCTGCTCTTGTTGTCTCTATCTCTCTCCCAAAAATAAAAATAACATTAAAAATTTAAGAAAATAAAATTTAATTAATTTTTGTGCTCACTTCGGCAGCACATATGCTAAAATTGGAACAGTACAGAGAGTAGCATGGGCCTTGTGCAAGGATGACATGCAAATTTGTGAAGCTTTCCATATTTTTTTCTATGATATCAGACTTACGTTGATTGCCAACAACTCAACTCCAGTAAAGACCGAAACCCCACTATACAGGAGAATTACAGGGCAATATTCCTGACGAACATGGATGCAAAAATTCTCAACAAGATACTAGCAAATCAAATTCAATAGTATATAAAAAGAATTATTCACCATGATCAAGTAGGATTCATTCCTGGTTCAATACTCACAAATCAATCAGTGTGAAACATCACATTAATAGAAGAAAGGATAAGAACCATATGATCTTTTCAATAGATGCATAAAAAGCATTTGCCAAAATACATCATCCTTTCTTAATAAAAACCCTCAAAAAAGTCGAGATAGAAGGAACATACCTTAACATCACAAAAACCATATACGAAAATCCCACAGTGAATATCATCCTCAAAGAGGAAAAATTGAGAACTTTCCACCTGAAATCAGGAACATGACAGAGATGTCCACTCTCACCACTGTTGTTTAACATAAGGTTGGAAGTCCTAGCCTCAACAATCAGACAACAAAATGAAATAAAAGGCATCCAAATAGGCAAAGAAGAAGTCAACCTTTTACTTTTCTCAGATGACATGATACTCTACATGGAAAATCGGAAAGATTCCTCCAAAAAGCCTCTAGAACTGATGCATGAATTCAGCAAAGTCATAGGATACAAAATCAATATAAGGAGATCATTGCATTTTTAAACACCAATAATGCAGCAACAGAAAGAGGAACCAAGAAATCGATCCCATTTACAATTCCACTAAGAACCATAAAATACCTAGGAATAAGCCCAACTAAAGAGATAATAAATGTGTAAGTTGAAAACTTTAGAAAACTTATGAAAGAAATTGAAGACAAAAAGAAATGAAAAACATTTTATATTCATGGATTAAAAGAACAAATATTGTTAAAATGTCAGTACTACCCGAAGCAATCTACACATTCAATGCAATCTTAATCAAAATTGCACCGGGATTCTTCTCAAAGCTAGAACAAACAATCTTAAACTTGACATGGATCCACAAAAGACCTCGAATATCCAAAGTAATGTTTAAGAAGAAAACCAAAGTGGGAGGCTTCACAATCCTGGACCTTAGCCTCTACTACAAAGCTCTAATTATCAAGACTGGGTGATATTGAAACAAAAACAGACACATAGATCAATAGAATAGAATAGAGAACTCAGAAATGGACCCACAAATGTATGGCCAACTAATCTGTGACCAAAAGTAGGAAAGAGTTCAAATGGAAAAAAGTCTCTTTAACAGATGGTGCTGGGAGAACTGGACAGCCACATGCAGAAGAATAAAACTGGACCACTTTTTACACCATACACAAAAATAAACTCAAAATGGATAAAAATACCTAAATGTGAGACAGGAAGCCATCAAAACCCTAGAGGAGAAAACAGGCAACAACATCGTGGATGTCAGCCTCAGCAACTTCTCACTCAACATGACTCCAAAGTCACGGGAAATAAAAGGAAAAACGAACTTCTGGGACCTCATCAAGATAAAAAGCTTCTACACAGGAAAGGAAACAATCCGCAGAACTAAAAAGCAACCGAAGGAATGGGAGAAGATATTTGAAAATGACATGTTGAATAAAGGCTTAGTATCCAAAGTCAATAAAGAACTAACCAAACTCAATCCCAAAACAAATAATCCAGTGAAGAAATGGGCAGAAGGCATGAATAGATGCTTTTCCAAAGAAGACATCCAGATGACTAACAGACACATGAAAAGATGCTCAACATCATTCATCATCACGGAAATACAAATCGAAACTACACTTAGATACCAACTCACACCAGAGAGGCTAAAATTAACAACTCAAGAAACAATAGATGTTGGCGAGGATGTGGAGAAAGGGGAACTCTCTTGCACTATTGGTGGGAATGCAAACTGGTGCAGTTGCTCTGGAAAACAGTGTGGAGGATCCTAAAAAAAAAAAAAAAAAAAAAAAAGAATTACCCTATGACCCAGCAATAGCACTACTAAGAATTTATCCAAAAGGTACAGGAGTGCTAATTCATAGGGGCACATGTACCCCAATGTTTATATCAGCACTATCGACAATAGGCAAATTATGGAAAGAGCCTAAATGTCCATCAACTGATGAATGGATAAATAATATGTGGTATTGTATATAAGCGATGAATCATGGGAATCATGTACATACACACATACACACAATGGAATACTACTTGACAATGAGAAAGAATGAAATATTGCCATTTGCAGCAACATGGACGTAATTGGAAGGTATTATGCTAAGGTGAGATAAGTCAGTCAGAGAATGATATATATCATATGTCTTCACACATCTGTGTAATTTGAGAAACTTGACAGAAGGGAAGGGTAAAATAGTTTCAAACAGAGAGGGAGGCAAACCGTAAGAGACTCTTAAATACAGAGAACTAACTGAGGGTTGATGGGGGCCAGGGAAGAGGGGGAAATGGGTGATGGATATTGAGGAGAGCATTTCTTGGGATGAGCACAGGGTGTTGTATATAAGTGATGAATCATGGGAATCTACTCCTGAAGCCAAGAGCACACTGTATACACCATATCTTAGCTAACTTGACAATATATTATATTTTAAAAAATAAAAACAAACTTAATTTTTTTCTAAAAAATTGAGTATAGTTGACACACCATGTTATATTAGTTTCATGTATACAACACAGTGATTCAACAAGTAGACATTATGCTACACTCACTCCAAGTGTAGCTACCATCTGTCTTTTGATCAACACATTCCAATCGTTCTACATTTTACTTAAGGTTTAAGCCAAAATCCTATCTATGATCTACAATTCCATACATAATCTACCACGCTTGTGTCATGTCCTTAACTTCATCTCCTAGTATTCTCTTTATTTTGTTTCAACCCATTTGACTCTACCCACATTGGCATCCTTGCTATTATTAATTGAATATTCTAGGCACACCCCTGCATTAAGGTCTTTGTATTGTTGTTGTATCTGCATGAAAGCCTTTTTCATCTCCTACCCCCTCCACATATCTACAGGGACACATTTTTTATTTCCTTCATGTCTTTATTTGAAATGTCACCTTGCTCAGCAACCCATCTACTCCACCTACACACCACACACAATTTTTAGTCTTCTTCATGCTTACTTTTTAAAATTTTTTCCCATAGTACTTATCTCCTTTTGCCACTTGTGTAATTTACTTTTAAGGTTTATTGTTTGTTGTCTATCACTTGCCAGTGTAATATAATCTCCATGAGAGCAAGAGCCTTTATTTTGTTCACCAATATATTACTGATGCTTAGAATAATGTTTGGTGTATATTAGCCACTCAAGTAATATTTGTTAGGCAAATGAAAAATGAACAGACAGAAAAATGTATGATTGAAAGGATAGATAATAGAAGAGATCAGGGCTAGATGAGAATTGACTCTGAAATGTGAGGAACTAAAAGAAATTTCTTATTTTTCACTAGGTACTACCATCTTCCTTTCCCTGCTTCTCTCTATGTATAAATTCCATAACCCATTCAAAGATATTTTGTAGCTTTTAGTATATAGATTTTGCACTTCTTTTGCTAAAGTTTATTCCTAAATATTTTTATTATTTTGATCCTATTATAAATGCGATTTTTTCCTTAACTTTGTTTTCATACTGTTTATTGTTATTGTATAGAAATAGGTTTTTTATATTCATCTATTTTTATTTTTAAATAATTTTAATGTTTATTTTTGAGACAGAGAGAGACAGAGCATGAGCAGGGCAGAAGCACAGAGAGAGACACAGAATCTGAAACAGGCTCTGAGCTGTCAGTACAGAGCCCGATGTGGGGCTCAAACCCACAAACCGAGATCATGACCTGAGCCGAAGACAGACGCCCAACCAACTGAGCCATCCAGGCGCCCCATATTCATCTTATATCCTGCAGCATTGGTGAACTTGTTTATTAGGTCTAAATATTTTTTATGGATTCCCAAGGATTTTCTATACATAAAATAATGTGTTATGTAAGTAGAGATTGGTTTACTTCTTTTTTTCAATACCGATCCCTTATATTTTTTTTTTTATTGCCTAATTGCCTTGGCTAGAACTTATATTACAATGTGGAGTAGCAGTGGTAAAAGTGAACATTTTTCACTCCTACTTGATCTTGAGGGAAAGCTTTTAGTTTTTCACCATTAAGTATAATGTTAACTGTGGGTTTTTCATAGATTTCCTGTATCAGCTTGAAGAAGTTCCCTTCTATTCCAAATTGATTTTTTTTTTTATCATGAAAGGTGTTGAATTATGTCAAATCCTTTTCTGCATCTAGTGAGATGAGCATGCCATTTTTGCCTTTATTCTATTAATATGGTGTATTACGTTAATTTTTAATGTCATGTCAACCTTAACTTTCCTGGGCTAAATCTCACTTGATCATATTATATAGTCTTTTTTATATGTTGCTGGGTTTGGTTTGCTGCTATTTTGTTTATTTATAATTCATAAGAAATATTGGTCTCTAGTTTTCCTTTCTTGTAATATCTTCATATGGTTTTGGTATCTGGCTAATGCTGGCCTTAGTTGGGAAATGTTTCCTCCTCTTAATATTTTTTAAAAATTTGAGATTTAGATTAGTTTGCCAATTCCTTAAATATTTGGAGGGGTTACCAGTGATATAATCTAAGTGTAGGCTTTCTTTGTTGGTAGCATTTTTGATTACTAATTCAATCTCATTACTTATCATAGGTCTGTTCAGATGTTATATTTCTTCTGAAGTCAGTTTTAGTAGTTTGCATATTTCTAAGAATTGGTTCATTTCATCAAAGTTAAATAATTTATTGCCATACAGTTGCTCATTGTATTCATTTTATAAGTTTGGTAGTAATGTCCTTATTTTCATTTCTGATTCTAGCAATTTGACCTTTCCCTCTTCTCTCTCTCTTTTTTCTTCACCAGTATAGCTATAAATGTATCAATTTGATTGATCTTTCCAACATACAACTTTTTTCATTGTTTTTTTA